TTTTAAAAAAGATTTTATTTATGTTTTTGAGAGAAATAGAGAGACAGCGAGAGAAGGAACGCAAGCAGGGGCAGTGGAAGAGGGAGAAGCAGACTTCCTGCTAAGTAGAGAGCCCGATGTGGGGCTCCATCCCAGGACCCCAGGATCACGACCTGAGCTGAAGGCAGATGCTTTAACGACTGGGCCACCCAGGCGCCCCAACAATCCTTATCTTTATTTGAGGTGGTAAGGATTGAAGTAAAATAATATTTTCCTGTAAAAGTTTTAAAGTTTCCCTTAAGGTTTACCTATCTGTTGTTGTGGTGTGTGTGTGTGTGTGTGTGTGTGTGTGCGTGTGCGTGTGCGCACGTGTTAGGAATCTAATTTTATTGTTCATATGGCTATCCAATTGCCCAGAAACCTTTCTTATATAAAATTCATGTAACATAAAATTCACATTTAAAATGGTTCGGTTGTTTTGAAGGTCACAGTCTAGGGGCATCTGGCACATCCATAGGGTTGTGCCATTCCACCCCGGTCTAGTTCCAGAACACATCGGTCAGTGCAGAAGGAAACCATGTACCCATTGTGCAGGCACTCCTACTTCCCCTGCCCCCCATCAGCCCACGGCCACCACTTACCTGATTTCTGACTCCGGGAATGTGCCTATTTGCGGTATTTTGTAAAAATGGCATGTAAATGTCATATAAATTGCATCACACAAAATGGTGGCCTTTTCCATTTGGCTTCTCCCACTTAGACCTTCACTGGGTTCAGCCCTGTTATCCCAGGAATCCCAATATTCCCCTCCTCTTTATGCCGAATAGTACTCCACTGGCTTGAGGCGCCACATTCTGTCTATCCAGCTGAGGCCTCTTGGGCTGTTTCCACTTCTTCCTGATTCTAGTGATGTAATGTACAGAATTTTGTCTGCATACTTGTTTTCCATCCTTTTGGGTCCAGCAACATTTTCTGTTCTTCCTCCCCACTTCCTTACCCCCATGGATGTGCAGTACCCCCTCCATCAGACACTGATTTTCCATACACGTGAGTCTCTTTCTAGGCTACTTATTTTCTTCCATTGGTCTGATAATCCATCCCCGTAGCAGTGCACACTGTCAGAGCTTCATGGTACATCTCGATATCTGGGTGAGCAAGTGCTCACCTCCCCCCCACCCCTGCTTTGCCAGAACTGTCTTGGTTAAATCTGGCCCTTGGTTCTCCCACATGAACTTTGGGAGCAGCTTGTCAAGGTCTACAAAAACTCCATTGAGCTTTGTTTTGGATGGAGAGGTTGGCTTGAAGGGAAGAAATTGCGCCCTTTACGATGGTGAGGCTTCCCAGCAGACACATGGGTCCTTCTCTTCCTACCTCAGGACTTTGGCACATGACAGCTTGGGTCCCCTCCCAGCCCTTCAACCAGCAAACTCTTTCTTCTTCCAGGCTCAGAGTCCTCTCCATGGGTTCTTCTCCCTCAGAGCCCTGATCATTGGTCCTGAAATCATTAATTGGGTGGGTGTTGATTTAACATCTGGACTGCTGACTCTTTCGGGGCTATGAAGCTGGCTTGCTTGTGTGCCTCGGCTCCTCCACTTGAAGAAGAGGAACTGACACATAGCGGGATGCCAGGAAATATCTGTTACAAGATTGAAGGATGTAAAGGGAGGAAGGTCTCCGGGCCCTGGAGTACTTAGGCCACACTGATGTAGGAAAGACATTAGGGTTCAAAGCCGATGGCCAAGAAAGAATTCTTGAGACTTCTTCGGTACAAAAAGGTGGTGTCATTAAAGCACGGGGACAGGTCCTGTGGGCAGAAAGAGCTGCACTGGGGTCATGAGAAATGGCCCATTAGATACTTTCAAGTTGGGAGGAGGTTAGGGGTGGTGTAAGTCTTTGAAGAATTTTGGAAGCAAGGTTTCCAGGACCTTGAGGGAGCTAGCTCTTGTTGGGAAAAGGTCATTTATTACCGTCTAAGAAAACCTTAGTCATGAGACCCTTTCAGATGTACATCGGTAGGTCACATGCTTGGGGGATGATTGCCAACATGGATCTTGGGGGATTTCCCAAGGAATTTTTATATGTTAAAGTAGACTCACAAGATCCTGGGGGTTGGGCTGGGATTGCCTTTTGCCCTTAGCAAAGTAGTAACATTGAGGCAGCTGAGCTCCTAGAGGAATGTCACTCTGCCTGTTTGAAGTACCCATCAATGGGCTGCAAGTAGTAAGGAAATTTAGTAATGTCTCTTCTGCCTTTTATGTCCCCCATCAATACCTAGAGAGATGGTGAACAAAGTTACTTGTCTGTGCCTTGGCTTTCTTCCCTGGAAAACGGGGACGTGATGAGGATGAGCTGATTAAGGGGGTGGGGGTCAGGTATGGCTGGAGTGCTTGGAGCAAAGCCCACAAGTGGTCAGCGCTAGCCAATTGCCTACCTGACCCACCCCTCCCCTTCATGAATCCAGTCTCACACTCCTGGGACATGGCAGCACGTTCCAAGGTCACCAACTTTGATTTTACCTCGCCCAAGATCTAGTCATCTTACGCCATTTTGCATATAAGGCAAATGAAACTCCGAAGGGAAGAATGACTAATCCAAAGACTTAAACCTAGAACTCCCGACCCTAAGCCCAGGGAGCAGAGTTTTCAAGGTGTTTTCCAGCTCAGATATTGTCAGTAGAACTGAGGTTAAATTGTGAGAACTACACAGATCCTCTCAAAGCAAAACAAAACTTCCAGACCCACACTGTTGACTTAAGTTATATTTATCTTATGGTTCCAGAAATAGTGATAAAACTAAATTAAGCATGAACTCCTCAAGCTCACAGCTCTAGAAATCAACCATAAAGCCCAACAAATCTTAAGGAAACAGACACACAACTGTGAAACCAAGAAAATCCAAATTAACAACATGTAATGGATGCGACTGATGATGTATGGCTGAAATCCAATGTCTGACATTGGAATTTAATGGTAGCAGAGTAATGTTTTTACACGTTTTATGTTTCCGGTGTCATCGTCTTTTGATTTTTATCTTGATGAGCTATCTCTTGAACCACTGTCAGAGTTACCTTCATTGTTTTCTTAAAAACAAAAACAAAAAACCTCATTTATAATCCAGTTTGATGGGCTGAGCAACTTAAACAATGAGTTCTCCAATGCAGTAACGAGAAACGGAAATAATACATTTAGTATCATATTACTTATTGTATATTTATGGTGATTCTTACTACTGACTACAAGTGTGTTCACCAAAGACAATAATGGCCCAATTTATGCTCTAGCAAAGGACCCATTGTGCTGATGGCCAGGGAGCTCCTCATTCCTGAGCTGCTGTGTGGGGCTGATGATTCCCTTCTCCCACCATCTCACTCCACTGGACCATTCATTGTAGCTTTGGAGGCCTGGTGCTGGTGAAGTCTGGAGCCCACAGCCAAGAAAGAATTCTTGAGACATCTTTGGTGCAAAAAGGTGGTTTTATTAAAGCGTGGGGATAGAAGCCATGGGCAGAAGGAGCTACTGCTCTGGGGTTGTAAGGAACAACAAGATTATATACTGTGGGGCTGGTGGAAGTCAAGATAACGGAAGTTCCAAAAGGATTTTCAGGTGCCAAAGACTCACAGGCTACCAGAGGCCTTGGATTGTCAAGGTAAGGTTGCTTTTCCCTCTAGGAAGTCATTAACATTAAGACAATAGGGAGCTTCCAGGAGGAAGGTTATATTCTGCCTGTCTCAAGTGTTTGTTAATGGGCTGCAGGTTATAAGGACATTTAATTTTATCTACATTTCCTTCTGCCTTTCTTTCTCACATCAGACCCATCAGGAAACCTCATTCTGCCAAGCTCCAAGACAGGCACCTGGCCCACTGACAGCCTCTGTGCCTCCTCCAAGGATCCAACCAGGCTTCTGTTCCCTTCTGGTTAGCATGAAACAATTAAAATTGTACATTACACCCAGGCTTTGTGCCACTTTTCTGGCGTCAAAGTATAGATCCAATGCATTAAAATATTTAAGAAGCTGATTTCCCAGTCCTTCAAACTGACGTTCAATGGCAAAGGATCCTAGCAAAAGGAAGTTTTGACGGTTCACCCGCAAAAAACCTGGTCGGGGGGCCCCAGAGGGGGAGTAGGACGCCTGTTGTCTTCCTCAAAGCGGGCAAGCTAAGGGAGGGCAGCCGGATGTGCCTACATCAACTGACCAGGAGTAGCCACCCGTCATACCGGGCGCAGAAGCACAAACTCTCTAATAGATGTTGTTGGGGTGTGGGGGGGGGGGTGCTCCTTTTTAAATAATTCCAGTGGAGAATCCCAGGGGGTGTGTAGGGTATTTGAGAAACGGGCTGGAGTCTGTGAACGAGCGTGGGCAGGACCCGCACCAGGTGCCCAGTGACCAGCCCCCACTTCTGGAGCTCCGGACCTGGGGGGCTCCGGCAAGAGCCTCGAAGGCTGGAGCCTGCCCGCCTGTCGCTGTCGCCCATCTGCGCTCTTCCTTCCCCAGGAAACAAATGGTGGATCAGACCTCCCAGGCTCTGGGCTTCCCCAGGGTTTGGCGGCGCGCCAGGGCCCCCGAGGCCCCTCCCTGCAGTACGGGGTGACAGACCCCACCCCACTCTCCGAAGCTCCGGGTTCCCCCCTCCCCCCGCCACCCCCACCACGTGCAGCCCTAGAAGGCAAAGAGGCCCAGCCGCCGTCACCAGGGATTTTCTTTTCTTTTTTTGCTGGTTGCAGGCTTTTTTCTGCCTGAGTGAAAATGAAACAGACACCCCCGCCTCCCCGCCCGCAGACACTCACACGCACCCGCACTCACGCACTCGCGCCGCCGGCCTCTCGGCGGCCAGTGTCCGGGGCGGGCCCGGCTCTGCACACACGGCCGCGGGCGGCGCCGGGCGGGGAGCGCCAACGCTGTCGAGCGCTCGCCGGCTCCCGCGCACGCCCTTGCCCGCCGCCCTTGCCCGCCGCCGCCGCCAGCCGCCCAGGAGCAGCGCCCCGCCGCCCGCCCGCCGGAGCGCAGGCTGCACAGCCCGCCCCGGCACGCCCCGCGGGGCTCCGGCAGAGGCGGCGCGGCGACTGTGCGGGCGGCCGAGGGCGCCGCCGGGCCGGGGGCCGAGGCGCCGTGCAGCCCCCCGTGCGCCCGGGCTCTGCGGATCAGGTGGGTCCCGCGGGGCGCCGCCCGAGCCCCGGGGTGGCCGGAGCTGGACTTGGCCCCGGGGCTGCGGGCGTGGCGTGGGGGCGGCGGGGACGAGAAGCGGGCCACCGCTCCGGCCCTGCCCTGTTTCTGCCCTGCCTGTGTCCTCGCTTTTGTTCTTGTCGCTATCACTCTGCCCCAGTCCCTGTCCCCATCCTGTCCCTGTCCGCATCCTGTCCCCGTCGTTGCCTCTGCCCAGCCTACAGACTCGCCAGAGGGGCTGCGGGCGAGGTTCTCCCCACGCGGTCCGCGGGATGCGGGCGGGAGAGAGGAGGCCTTGGGGGAGGGCACGGGGGTAGGACCCTCGTCCCTGAGGAATCTGGAAAGGAGTGAGGGGTCTGTCCCCTCCTGTCGGGCGGGACAGAAGATGGCTCTGGCCCAGGACCGGACGGTAAGAGGATGCTCCTGGGAAGGGGGAGCCTGGGAAGGTACAGCGAGGGGCGGGCGAGCCCCTGAAAGCAAGAGCACAGAGGGGGAGTGGTCCGAGAGCGAGAGCGAGGACCGAGCCAAACACCCAGCGCGGCGCGGGGAAAGTTTCAAACATTTGTAACTTTGGCAGCAAAAGGGCCTGCTGCACTGGGTTGAAGGGAGGAGACAGGGTCCCTTCGACTTTACAAACCACCCAGTTCCTGCTAGAAAGGGACACCACCCGCCTTTGAAAATGGCAGAAAAACAGCTAAACAGAATGATTGCACAAACTCTTGAAAGGCATCCAAAAAAACAGTAAAGTGGAAAAAATTGTCAGCGCTCGAGGAGAGAAAGCAGGACGAATTGAGATTTCCCAATCTTCCCGCTGGCAGGCGGGAAGAAGGAGGAAGGCGAGGAGGGTGTCAACAATGCTCCTCCCCGCCCCCTCGCCCAGGAAGGAGAGGAGACCCGAGCGGCTGCTGCCGTGGCTTCTGGCTCCTGCACAGGCCTCGTTGTCTCCTCCGTTTACCTGGAAATAGGTACGTCTCCGGAGGCAGGAGATGCCCCAGGGAGCCCGGGCCTCGCTGCTTCTTAGCTGGGCGACGCTTGCCCAGGGGCAGCCTCAGTTTCTGCAGCTATGAAATGGGGATGCTGTTCTGAGTAAGAAAATGCAGGTGCGGAGGCCAGTGTGAGAGGTGCTGGGTGGGGACATGGTTATTCAGTTGCCCTTCTGTGCCTTTGTGGATGCACTGAGCAAGTACTTTTATCTTGTTCCAAGTTCTTGCTAGGTTTATCTTACCTCCAGCACCAGATGGGGGCAGGTGCAGATCTCGGTTATTGCTACAAGTGGCAGATTCTCAATGACTGAAGAAAGCAGAGCTGAAAAAGTCCCTACGCTTTTTACCTTTTTACCTAGTCCGAGAGATTTCGGGCTATGCCTCCGGGAGTCTTGTGGTCATGGATGCCTAGCACCATAATAGGGGAGGAGAGCCTCCAGGGCAGGGCTCTGACCCCTCCCTGCCTTCTTTCAGATGGAACAAGTTTCCTTCTAGAAGCCTTTATCTCTTCTATATATTGGGAAACCCCAGGGGCTGTTTTTAGTATCACATTCTTCAGATCCAGTCTGATTTGGTTGTGTTGAGTGGAGAAACTGATTCAAGAGGTGTGCAAAGTGACTAGTGTGACTAGTCTGATGGCCAGACCTTGCCAGGAAACCTGTCCCCCGAGTCCTGGGCCGGGAGCCCCTTTCCCTGGCCCTGGTGGCTCTGAGCAGCCATTCTGCCAGCTGTTAGCCCTGGCTCATTTGGACCCTAACTCCAGGGCCTCAGGTCCATCTCCTTCTCCTGGAAGAATCGCATGGTCTGAGGTTTTGTTTTGTTTTTCCTTAGGACTTTTGTGGAACTTCACATGGGACTTGGTTTCACAGGCTGAGATAAAAAAGAAACGCGTTCAGCAGGAGCTAGTGGGCACACTGGCCCCATCTGAGCCCAGCCAGACAGGGTGGGGAGTTCAGAGATGCCAAGGGGCTCACCACCCCCCACTCCCCATCATTCAGCTTTTAACTCGAGGCTGGGATTGGACTGCAGCTCTGTCTGACTCTAAGTCTTGTGCTCTTTACATTATGTTATCTCTCATGATGGATTAAAAAAAATGGCTAATGGACAGATGTCATTAAGATGGGAGCAAGGGTGAGGGGAGACGGGCTGAAAGGGGGGGGCAGCATTAAGTGGGAGACTGGGCCTTCATACTATAAATGTAATCGTATTTGAAACGGGTGTGTTTTCTGCACTGTGGTTTCTTTTTTAGTTGAGTGGGGGTTTTTTTTGTAGATACTTAAAATTATTTTATTTTTCTAATTTTTCATTAAAGGATAATCTACACACAATAGCATCCACAGATCTTCAGTGTTCAGTTCAAACATTGGCAGTCGCTTGTGGCTGTGTTGTTGCTACCCAAAATGAAACGTGAATATTTGCGTCATCCTAGAAAGTTCCCATGCCAAACTAATTTTCCTTTGTCCTTACAGGCAACCATTTTTCTGATTTTATTACCATTGATTAATTTTGCCTGCTCTTGGGCTTCACGTAAATGGACTCGTACTGTTTATCTCAGGTTTATTTCACTTGACATAGTGGTTTTCAAGGTCATCTGTATTGCTACACATATGAGTATTTGTCCCTTTTTAGCCCTGAGTAGTACACGTTCCGGGTGGGTATACCACAATTGGCTTATTTATTAAGTCTCTTGTTGATGAACATTTTGGGCAATTTCCAGTCAAGCTCTTAATTTCTTGTAGAATTCTTTTGTGGACATTGGTTTCACGTGGGAGTGATCCCCCAGAAATGTATGAGGCTTGTGATTATTCCACACCCTTGACGATGTCTGGTGGCGTCAGTCGTTTTGATTTTAGTTATTTTAGGGGCTCGGTGATGGTATCTCATACCTTCTATTTTTACAATGGAATTGTAAAGGTTGTTGGAGGAGACGGCATGAACTGGGGACAGAATATGGACTAAGATAGTAGTTTGGAGGCCAGTAGTTGGAATTGTGACCTTAGGAGTGTGGATTTCTGGGCTCAGGTGAGCTCTCCGTGTATCACCTGAGATTTAAGACCTGGTCGTCCTATTCTGTACACGTGGCAAGTTCGTCCATGCTTACGGCTTTAAATGCAGCCTGCAGGACAATCATCTTAATCTCCAGTTCATATCTCCGTTTTGGGTCCCTGATTCACATGTTTAACTGCCCGTTGGGCATCTCTTCTTGGAGGTCTCAGCCACACTACAGACTTGACAAGAATGGAACAGCACTCATCATCTCATATTGGCTTTCCATCATGGGTCACTGGATGAATGATGGCACCACTGGGAGAATATATAAAGAGGAATGTTTGGGTCAAGGGCAGGGATAATGTATTTGGCTCCATGCTAAATGGTGCAGAACTGTCTGGGAAGATAAGGACAGGAAAATGCACTGGGCAGTCAGGAGATGACTGAAATCTGCTGGGTGTAGTTTTGGTGGAATGGAGGGCAGGCAAGCTAGATCGCTGAGACCTGAGAGCGAAAGAAGCAGAGACGGTGAGTACAGGCAGCTCTTGCAAGAAATTTGTTTGAAAAGGCCAGAGGGAGATTGAGCTACAGTTGTCCAAAGAAAGGGTGAAGGAAGGGATTTTAGGATGCAAAGGACAAGGGAAATGGAGGCTCGGGGGAAGGACTCAGTCCAGGAGAGGGAAGGTTGGCCAATAGAGCAAGGTGCTAGGGGGAGTAGGAGGGAGCCGGGAGGTTGGTTTGAAAGAAGGATGGATGTCTCCACTTCTGAGGCTGGATGTGAGTGAACGAAGGGGAGAAAGCTTATCAGCTACAGAATTCTCTGTTGACCCTCCACATGCACAACCTTCGTGATGTGGAAGGTTTTTCACCATCTGCTCCCTTCTCATCTCACCTGGCTCGTGTGTATCGGGTAGTTTTTGCTGCAGCTGTGCTGTGTAACAAACAATTCTCCAGTCTTAGCTGACAGCCGCTAAAGTTTATGGTTTGCCTTATGTGGTGGCTGCAGAGCAGGAGGCCACGTGGTCTTGTGGCTGTGCTCCCGGTGCCAGCCAGACACATCTGCTCCGTGTGTCTTCTCCCTTCAGAACTCAGGCTGAAGGACCTGCCTCGATCTGTTAGGTGTTATTTTTGTGGTTAGAGCTGGAGGAAGAAAGGAAGGTTGGGATGTCTCATAAAGCCTGTGCTCTGAACGGGCCCAAAGTCAGTAAGACTGATGGATGGATATATAGGCATGAGTAGGGGGGAGGGGCAGAGGGACAAGCAGATGCCCCCCCTGAGCAGGAAGCCCCACGACGCAGGGCTCCATCCCAGGATCTGAGATCATGACCTGAGCTGATATCAAGAGTCAGATGCTTAACCGACTGAATCACCCAGGTGCCCCATCTGTACCATTTTTTTTTTGCAACAGCATTTGCTCAGTGTGTCTCTGTGGCACATTTTGGTAGTTCTTGCAATGTTTTCGTTATTTCAACAAACTCTTTCATTATTACTATATTTGAATTGCTGCAATCTCATGACATCAACTTGGTTGTTAAAGCCGAGGCAGGATTTGAGAGGACTGACTCTAATTTTAAAAGAAGTTCTAACGTGAGCAAAATATTAGCAAACAGCATCTTGTGCTCTAGAGAAATCACTCACGAAAGCAAGAATCATTGATGTAGCAAACTTCCCTCTTTTCTTGTTTTAAGAAATTGCCGAGCCACCCCAACCCACAGCAACCAGTTACCCTGATCTGTAGCCATCGGCATCAAGGCAAGACCCTCCTCCACCAGCAAAAAAATTCCAAATTGCTGAAAGCCCAGATACTGGCTAGCATTTTTTTTTTTTTTAAGCAATAAGGAATTTTTAAATTAAGACACGTATGCTGTTCTTTTTTTTTTTTTTTTAAGAAATAATGCTCTTAATAGACTACAGTGTGGCATAAACATAACTTTTATAGACATGAAAAAACCACAAAATTCATTCAATTCGCTTGGTAGCAGTATTTGCTTTGTTGTGGTAGTCGGGAAT